TTTTTTTTTGGTAAATAGCCTCTCCAACGAACCATCACACCGTGGCACTCAGCGCTCCATCCGCTGTTGCTGGCGCACAGTCAGCTGCGTTGGCTCAGTCGCCACCCAGTGCTGCGCCGATTTTGCCGGTAGCTGCGCCGCAGCCCAGCGCAGTGCTGAGCCCTGTTAGCGATACCAAAGTAGTAACGCCGACTATCAGCAGTGTGGCGAAGGCGCAATCTGTGATACGGCCGGTGGCTCAGACTGTGGAGGAGGAGAAGAGCTTCAAGACGACAGCGACACACGTTGTCGGATCGCCTGGAGAAGGTTGATTGGAAATCATATAGTGTGGATAAGGCACGGTTTTTTTTAATTCCGCCACTTTTGCAGGGAGTATATCTAGTCCGAAACCCGTCGCCGCTCCCCGACAATTCCTGTCTGAGGAAAAGGCGCCAGCGCCGGTGAGCGTGACCCGCAATCCTTCGACCAGGAGTAGTCTGGGTGAAGTAATCAATAAGGCGCAAAGTTCTGGCGAGTTCGGAGATGTCCAGTTGAGGCGAACCGAGCTGCTAGAGCAGCGGCCCGCCAAGCCCGAGATCCCCGCAAGGCCCGCTACTCTCGCACCTATCAAACGGTACGTTGCGCATTGAGCTGCAGGACCCTCGGACTTACAACACTAACATTTTCAAGCAAGGCGAACGCCTGAGGTGGCCACCCGGCAGGCCTAACACGACTAACATAATCCTTGGTTATAGAACCTCAGCGGACATAGATCCGAGTTTGCAAAAGACTCAGTGTTCAGTGTACAATGTAGCCAATAAGCAGCAGCCGAGTATCGTCAGCATTCAAAACCGGACCGAGAAGATTCAGCTGGGCCACGATGTTATGATGGCCGAGAAAGAGAAGTTCTTGGGTGAGTTGCATGCACTCCCCAATAAAACTAAAGCCGGCGCTACACGATGCTACGAACGCCTCCCAACGTTGGAGGCTGGACGGTTCATCGCATCGTGTGGCCGTCTTCGAACTTTCGAACTTTCCGGCCTTTGTCGGTATTTTCGACCGAGTCAATGCTGGGCTACACGATGCTACGAACACCCTCGAACGTTGGGGGCTTGACGGTTCATCGATCTAGAGCTCCAATGTCGAGCCTCTAAGGTTCGCGTTGGAGCATGTTTCGGCTCTTGTCGGTATTTTTGACCGAGTCAAAGGAATCGCTGCAACGCTCGAAGAAAATCATTCGTTGATTTGATGCACACGATTGGTTCGAAATAGTTTGTTTTCCATAAACTTTTTAGTGGATTTAACCGCGTAGTTAAAAATGAAATTGAAAGTATTGTTGATTTCATTCTGCAAAGGGGTGTATTTTTTTAATTATAATTAATGATGATACATCTCGTTAAACATTTTATAAAATTCTGTTTGAAAAACATT